GATGATTGCTCATGGAAGACTGGACATTTTGGAAGACCTTACTGTGTGAAGAACCGGCTTGCGGAGATACTGGGCATTTTGGCACCACATCTGGCTTGGGTCTGGAGCTTGGCCTGATAGGACTGGAATCCAAGTCCAGGAGGTTTTCCGTGCTGCGTGACTTGGGCTGCAGCTTGCCATAATTCCTGTCAAATTTCTGTAGCATGCGACTCACCCTGCCTTGCCCCTCCAGCGGGGAGGAAGCCGGTCGTCCCAGCGTGCTGAGGTTCTCCTCGCTTTTACTAAGTGCAGTATCGTAAATGACCACTTCCTTCGCGCGTATCTCAGTAACCGGACTACCTCTTCGGTCCAACAGGTCATTGAGAGAGCTATATCCGCTCACCGTGCCGTTCTGCTGCAGTTTCGATGCATGTTTCAAACCACATCCTTCCGAAAAGTACTCCGGGTCGGATTCAATGATAATGATATTCTCAGCGCGTATAGTCCGTATCCCGGGAACGCTGCCGTATAACTCGAGGATGTGCTGAACAGGTCGCGCGGCGTTCTCTTGGCTCTGACGCTTCTTGCGTTCTTTTTCCAGTTTAATGAATGGGTTTTCCTGCAGCGGACCCAAGCTCTCTTGCAATACCAGGCTCTCCTGCGCTCTGTTGTCTTTCGCCGTTCTCTCCTCCGTGCGGCTCGGGTCCGCGGATGGCCAGTGCTCTTTTGTTTTCACCGGTGACAGATCCGGGCTTTTGGTCGCGCGCTTGGCAGCGGTAATGGTAGAGTTCATGCTAGAATGTGCGCCGGTGATATCATCCTTGCATTTGCTGCCCGATACCTCGCCGTTAAGTCGAGATGCGACGGACTCGGCACCTGCTCCACCTCCCTTCGCCTTTCTCCGCTCAAGGATCTCGCGTTTCCAGGCCGGCATCCTCGGGCTCTCCTGCCCTGGCTCTTGGCGAAGAACGCGAAGATCCCCGCCCGACATTATGGGAGAAACAGGTTTTATAGGGATACGTGTGAAACCAAATAATCTCTCGCTGTACCTGCAGCGCAGCGCCTCTTCTTACTCGTACTCGTGCATCATTGCAGCCTCAACAATGTATCCTGCATGATGATGATGTGCCAGTCTACCGACACGACCCCGCCCTCGGAAAGTGACGTCAGATTTTCGTCTCAGGGTGGACACCTCATTTGGTCATTTTGACTTGAGGCACACCTTTTGTTTCAACATATGCCCCGCCCCCTACTTTCTACTATTGTGAAAATTAAAGCGAGCCCTGTCAGTCAAACACAGCGAGTCCCGCCCATTTCATATCTTTAACCCTTTCATTACTTAGGAATGGTTTATGTCAGGGGTCACCGAGTTTGGTGACCTCTGGTTTATGTTATGAATTGGCAAAACAGCGAGCTGTTTGGAGCAAGATCACAGGAAGCAAAAAATTAAATATTCATTTCTTGTGTGCTTGTGCACACTTGGCAAATAAAAAATAATTCTGCATTTAATAAATTATCTAGCCTATTTTAAATGTTGTATTATAATAATATAGATAATATGTAAATTGAAATAAATTTTACATAATGGTTTCATAAGAAATAAAATGTAAGAAAACTTAATTACATTTTAAAAAATTTGGTGCAGCTACTATATTTGTCACTGTCATAATCCAGTTTTAATCCGAAAAAAATGAAATGAAAATGAAAATAAATATAACAAAAATAAATAAATATAAGTGCAAATACATATGATTATAGCAGGCCTACTGTGTTTCGAATGCAACAAATACTGTGGTGACTGACACGATCAAAAACAGTATGTTTGATCAAGGAATTTGAATAAAAGGTAGAATAATGCCATGTGATGGTGTGGTACAACTACTGTCCTCGTCACTCTCATAATCCAGTTTTAATCAGATGAATTAAAGGGCACAGAAATAAAGATTATAGCAAGACATCATAAGTACAGAGCGTCAAGTTATTTATAGACTTTAGCCTGTAGCCTATTATGCACCTGGGCATTCTGTAAATTTAGATAACCTCATAATCAGGGAGGGACAACAGGAAAAAAAAAAAGTTCATTTAAGATATGGGTGTACGACCTTTAGTACAGTTGTTGCCATTTACAGCCACAATGGAATGCATGTCCACTTAGACATTTCATTATTTCAAAAATTTCTAAACGTGTTCAAGGAAATTATGTTATGCTATCATAAACCAAGCGCAAAGTCCAAAAATAACATGGCTTATTGTTAACAGTAACACAGCCTTGCTAACAGAAAATAAAGAAATGTTTTCTGTTTCTAATATCTTTTATATATTTATATATAAGTAATAGGAAGGTTGTTTACTAGATGTTCTTTATCCTTTTGGTTTATTATTATATTAATATTATCCTTTTGATTTAATCTTATATATTTAATATAGATGTCATTTATACCTTTAGTTTAAGATAGGATATTGTTTTCACTTTAACAGTTAATTTTAATTAGAGCTTATTTCTCTTTAGAAGTTATATATTTTAGAAAACATTTTTCACTACATCCGTAAGGGTAATAAATCTGAAACTAGCTGCTCTTTAGTGATATAATTGCAACCCAAACATCATAAAAACTATTTGTAAATGTATACTTAATTAAATTGAATGGTTTGTCCTGAGTGGAGCTCCTATAATGAGACGAATAAGAAATAGCAGGTTTAATTAAAACTGTAGTGCAATCTAGTGATTATTATAGGACGTACATTTTTTTTTTTTTTTTTTTACACATCAGCTTACTTTGAATTTTCCTCTCAAAAACATCAAACATCTTACTAACTTTTCTAAATAAATAAATACATTTAGGTCACTTCAAGGCATGGTCATAACAAACCAAGGAAGATCAAGAGTGTTGAATGTTGATGGTTTATTTACAACTGTACAAATAACAATAAAAGGTAATAACACAGGTAAAGCAACATTATTGACAGTATTCAGAAAAAATCAAGACGAAATATCTCAAAGCACTTAAAGACTATAATAATGATCAAAATCAGCACATTTTATAAACACTGTTTATGATGCCATGGTCACATGCTTGAACCATTTGAATACAAAAAAAAAAAGTTCACAATGATGTTGCAGTTCACAACGATTCACTCCTGGTTTGAATGACACCTGCAGGAGTCCTTTTCATTCACGTAAGTCCACTGGCATGTGTGCAGATGGTTTGTCCTTTAATTGACACGACAAGCACGAATCATGAGCAGCTGCAGAAGGATGAAAAGTGGGGAAACGATAAGCCCGAACCACAAATCACTTGCCTGGTCCTGTTCGGCCAATTTCTGGCATAGCAGCACCTCACACACCAGCTTGAGGCTGAGCACTGTCAGCACCCACAGCAAGCGCAGCACTGCCAGCCGCTTTTCTCCTTCTTGATAGAGGCGGATGGATACAATAGCTGTGAAGTAAGTGCTGAGGCCATCAGCAGCAAACAAGGGTGAGAAGACAAGCCACCAGCTCATCTTTAGAGTCTGCTTGTCCACGTCCATGTGTAGGGCCACCAGCACGCTGAAGACCAGCAGCGCGCCCAAGTGGAGGAACAGCTCGAACGTGGCAAAGCCCAGCCATTGCACCAGCTCTCGCAGGGAGAACAGCATTATTAATGGGACACCACTTAGTGTTGTTTACTGGGGAGACTAAGATCAAAACACTAGCCTAAGAAACTGGGAGTGAAGAGAAGCATTTAATGGGTATTCAAGTCTATGAAAAATTCTCCACTGAGGAGTGTTTCACTATTTTGGCAGCATCATGCTCTTTCTGAGATGGACCAGGTCCACCTTCTGACTTCTGATGCATTTGACTCTCTGTCAAAACCTGGAAAAGGAAGAAAAAGACCTCATTATCAAGACCAAAAACAATGCAACTACAGTTCAAGTTTGGAAATCATTGTATGGTACAATTGTACACTGATGAAGTCGCATTGTCCAGAAACATGGTTGACTGTATTCTGTGACCATATGATTAACATTTAAATCAATACAGACGTCAGTAAAGCTCATTTCACTATCCCCAACATCATATCTATTGTATCTTAATATGCATCATAATCCAGGTTAACACTGTGCAGATAAACATGTTATTAGTCAATTGCCGTCCATCATTTTGCGGAATTGAACGTGTAAGTTAAGTGTAAACAAGCGAGCCGTCAGTTAGCATATGATGACGAGTACTAAATGTGCCAATAGTTTACTGAAAAAATAAATTTTTACCTGACAGATATCGTTCGCAGTGATGGTTGAAGACAAATATATTACCGCAAGCTACATTTTTAAAGGGCCACTAATGAACGGGTGGGTTGACAGCGGTGGATAAGCAGCTGTAATGAAAACATTACACAAGCTAGCTGAGATGAGCTATTTACCTTCCAACAGTAGCCCGGGGAAATATCGCGAGATCTTCTTCTTCTTCTTCTTCTTATATCTTTCCGGCAGTGTAGACGCTACTGGGCGTATTACTGCCATCCCTCGCGAGATCTCAAATTCGAGTCGAGAGAAATATCGTGAGATCCTTATTTTCTACGGAGGCCGAGAGGCAAAAAGAGTAATGAAATCACAGAAAAGGGTTACGCGCCAGAATGACTACTAGCATGAAACTGAGGAATGATACAATGGGCGGGGCTTATCTGTCCCAGGCTCTTTTAGTTAGGCACTCATTATAAACATACATTTTCATATTTCTAACTCTGTATGTTCTGTTCTCTGGCTGAATAGGTTCTATGAAGCATCATTCAAGTTCACCGCTAAAAAAAAAAAAAAAAAAAACTTAGACAGCGCTATCACGTGGTCCCTGTTACTTTACTCCGCGCTGTTTAGGGTTGCTCGTGTGATTTGATGATAAAGATTGAACATTATATAAAGCTTGCAGGAAGATGTTTTTATTTATATCTCAGGAACAAGAGCATGACATTTAAATATTTACCAAATAATACTTTAAACCGTATTGAAATTTGATTGTAGGTAGATGAAGAATTTGCCTTCCTGAGCCACCAAGCGCCTCCTGGAGGAATACGAGTTTCGTCGAAGACAGCTTGCAACATTTTCCTCTGAATGAAATGCACGTGCGTTTGAGGTTTGAGGAGCAACACTTTAGTTGGCAAGATCTCTGTCATTTACGGTTTCCCATTAGCGGTGACTAAGCACGAAGTAAGTTCTTCTCAGTTGTATAATTTCACATGCCGTCTGTCATCTATGAAATGCTTGAATTATTATGCCTTTTACAAGCTTCAGGTTTCTGTAACATTTACATTATACAGTATTATGCAGTGTTAAGGACGATCACTATTAGCTAAGAGAAACCTGTCAACAAATGTTTCGTATCAGTATCGTTAGAGATGTTAGACCAAGAGTGTAATGTAAGTACTGCTCCTTAAAGTTTTTGAAACGATTGTTTAGCCTAACTGTTTCATGATTATTGACATTTCAGCACTTATGGGAAATTAGTCATGAGTTGACCTAATGAAATATGCATGCTTATTAAGGTCTCCTGCTTAACCATTATATTGTTTAATTTACATAAATCCATTATTAGTGTACTTTTTACACTCACTGGTGTCAGATTGGTGCTACGTAGTTTACATCCAAACTCCAAAACACTTAAAAAGTATACCATGTACTGTACATATCATTTTTGTTTGAGTAGGTAATTGATTGACCGTATATAATTTTTATGTGCAAAAGAAGATTTACCTTGATTTAAATATGGTTTCTTAAACAGGTGAAGAATTAATGTTTCTTGTCTGCAAAGAGAGAATTTCTGCATGCTTGCGTCTGTTGTATGGCTATAATACGAATCAAGTTTTTAATTGATTTTTCCCAAAATTAATAGTTTATTGTCATTATCATTATTTTTTAATAATGTAAAAGTCTAAATAAAAATAATGATTTAATAATTTTAGGCTTTAATAATTATTATTTTATAATTATTTTTTAAAAGATGTCTAAATGTATTAAAAATTATTAGTTTCACTTCCAGAAAATAAAATATTAAATATAGTGATATTTTATTTTATTGTATTTTTTTTTACGCAAGAGAAAAATCTACTCAGTTTCACATATGAGACCTGAAAACAAGCCTTAACATGCTTTATATTGCAGTTTTGCTTTTCAGGTGAATTTATTGTGTTTTAGGGATTTTTTTTTTCTTCTGGGGCCGTATGTATCAAGCTTCTCAAAGTGCCATTTTAGTCTTAAGTGCTGAGAATTCATTAAAGGGATAGTTCACCCAAAAATGAAAATTTGATGTTTATCTGCTTACCCCCAGGGCATCCAAGATGTAGGTGAGTTTGTTTCTTCAGTAGAACACAAACTGAGATTTTTAACTCAAACCGTTGCAATCTGTCAGTCCTATAATGGAAGTGAATGGGAATCACGGCTTTGAGAGAAATGAAACATACACAAACAAAACCAAATTAAAACCTGTGGCTCGTGATGATACATTGATGTGTAAAGACACGAAATGATCGGTCTGTGCAAGTAACTGAACAGTATTTATATTCTTCTTCTTCAGCCGGCGCGTGAGGTGTCTTCTTCTTCTTGCTTTACGGCGGATCGCAGACTTATAAGTGCATTACCGCCACCTATCTCTCCAATGGACCATTGACACTCTATCTACAATCTCAATTAGGAGTGTCAATGGTCTAGGGGCTTGTGATGGCGCTGAGGAGACAGAGACATGCGCAAATCTTTCAGGAGAGGAAGAATGTTCTTGAAATGTTTGACAACGAGCAGTTAATAAAAGTTACATTTCCTCAGTTATTCAAACAGAAACGAGCAAAGAATATTTACATGACCAAAAAACATCATAACTGACTTCAGTCTAGCGCGAGTATAATGCTCTTTAAAAACACTCCCGTTATAATCAGTGAAGCTACCTACACTGTATCAATAACTGACTATCGTCTACCGGCACAACCCTAAATTGAAGGTTGTGATGACGTTGAAGGTTGTCCTTTCCCCTATTAGGAATTTAACCATTCAATGTGACTTTATCTGAGAATAATCTTAATTAAGGAAATCTATTCAGTGATTGGTCCATGCGTATTTCGTCATCCAAAATCCCGTTTGTGGCACAGCAAAATGTCGTGAATCAACTCTAAGACTGACACTTAAGATTTAGCCCTACACTTCGCTTAAATTACCAGTGAGATGCTTGATAACTAACTTTTAAGCGCAGCTTTGAGACAAGAATTTTTTTACACTTAAGTCAGTTCTTAGCAGCGTTCTTGAGAGTAATTCTCAGAGGCTTGATAAATACGGGCCTTGGTAAATAAGACTGGGAAAGAAACTGATTAATATATTTTTTTTTCTGTAGCGTATGTAGCTATGATTCATAATTCTGCAGTTACATAGATTGTGTCAGTAAGTGTTTGTCTTCCATTTGAATCTACAGGACAATGACACAGCCAACAGACTCTGTTCTACACAGCGGTTACTTTCACCCCACTCTCCGATACTGGCAGACCTGTGCTTCAGACCTTAGACCAGATAACCTAATTTATCCTGTCTTCATTACGTAATGTCTTCTCTATATATACATTTTTTTTTTTTTTTTTTTTGGATGATGGTATCAGGATGTTCAGGAGTTATGTTATTGTTTAAAGTTTCTATTTGTCAGTTTGTATGTTTGAATTATTATGTCTCTCTCTCTAACTGATTTTAACAGTGACAGTCCTGATGCAGTGGAACCAATTGCAAGTCTACCTGGTCAAACAAGGTATCCTTCTTCACTGTCAACAAACATATTCTCTCATCTTAGACGTTTTTAGTTTACAGTGTTACTTCCTGTTTTGTGTCCATTCAGTCTAATTGAGTACTACTACTTCTGTAACTATCTGTTACCATAGTTACAATTATTTAATGGATTACTAATGGAGTTTAATGTGTATAAGACTTGACTGTTATGATCTGTTTAAATCATTTAAAAGAAAATTGGCACTGTACAAAATAATGTTTTTTTTGTTGTTGTTGTTGTTGTTGTTGTTTTTTTAACAAAGTATCAAGAGGTCTTTAACCTTTAGAAAGTGTTGTTTGTCCAGCTCAGGACATCAGACTCTATTATAAAAATTTGGCACATAGTGGGAATACTGTTTAAAATACACATTAAATAAACATAGGAATTAAATAAATATACAAATTAGGTTAAAGGCTCTAATAAAATTAAAATGTACCAGAATTTTAACTTAAATTAAGCTGTCACTCGATAGGGGGTAGCTAGTTTGGGACCAGAGGTTGATTTGTAGTTATTGATAAACTTATGTTTTTATATATACAGTACAATGTATATCCCATTAATTCATTCATATATTAGTTTAATCATTTCTTTTTCAGTTGTCTTAATTTTGATGATTTGAATAAGGTTTGCACTACAAACAGTAAGAGACTATAGGGAAGACTATGGACAATATGTGAACATTTTTTAAATGTTCAAGATGTGTATGATTGATATAACAAAGATGGAGTATGCATGTCAAGTTTGGGCTGGTGGTCTGAGATAAGATTCAGGCAGGGTGGAGCTGGAGCTAGCCAACAAAGCACAGAGATAAACCAAGGATCCGTTTATTCTGGGTAGTTTAGTCCCCTTTGCATTGCATTAGTGGTCAGTGTGAGGTCTGGTTATTTTGTCATGTACTGTAATATAGATTGTGAAATACTATCATTATTGCATACTTTTTTAAAACTTACTACTATGTGAAACAATGCACATTATGCAGCAATTACCATTTAGTAATAAACAACAATATGCATTAAAATGTGTTTAAAAAATGTATTAACTATTGGCAGTCTGATCAAATAATTTGCTAAATTGTGACTTGCATCAAAGACCATGTATACAAAAATGGTTCATCCATATTACTGTGAATAGGAAAAACTGCAACGCCCAATATGGCAGCTCTAGTAAAGGATGTCCCATTTTCTATCTAAGTCATCATGTCATCGCAGCTGCTATTAGAAGAAAACGGGTAATATCCTGAAATTTGTGCTTAGGAATGCAAATAGCCCTGGTGTATCATATATAGAAATAAGAAATGGCAATGTTTTGTTAAGATGTCTTAGTCAAGATATGACGTATGATGTTTTTTGTGTCTATTTCAGATATGGTGTTAATAAGATAGAGGGTTTACTTCGTCCCCTTGTGGATAAAGGCCTGAAGTGTGTGCTGATTTTTGGAGTTCCTAAAAAAGTTGCGAAGGTCGGTGAGAAGTTAAATGATTTCAAAATATTGCTGTCAATAATTTAAGTCATAGTATGTAATGAAGATGTGATTAAATCATCAAAATAGATAATCAAATAGACATTATAAAAAGTATCTTTAGAAAGAAATATTTTATTTGATTCAATATAGAATTTATTATTTACATTTTAGACGACAATGCCCATGATTTTTTTATTTTGTTCAGAAGCTGCATCTGAATCGGTATTTAGATATAGTTACAGACCGTAAATTACAGCATAGATGTAGCATGAATGCATTTACACTGGAATTACAATTTCATAAATAATGTAGTGAGATTAGTGGGGTTTAAATGGGTATTAAAGGGATAGTTCATCCAAAAATTAAATTCTGTTGGCATTTACTCTTGTCTTTTCAGACCTGTATAACTTTCTTCTGTGGACCATAAACGATCATTTGAGAAATGTCTCAGTATTTTTTATTTATTTTTTTCATACAATGAAAGTCAATGGTAACCAAAACAATTTGGCTACCAACATTCTTCAAAATATCTTCACATTTCTAACCGGCATGCATTTCGCTGTGATTAATGGTTCTGCACAGATTTTACTTATGTCAAACGAGCCTTATGTCAAACGCGGGTACAGCACACTTATATATTTTCCATAGTGAAATGCAGCATGCATTTGAGGGATGCTGTGATGCTGTTAACTCAGTGAGAGTGAAATAGTGTCTTCCCCTCCACTCCGCAGCATTTTTCAAAACTGGTGAGAACTAACAGAGGGAAACATGACCCTTTGAATGTATTAATAATTTTAATGGGGATGCATTTTTTTCAGAACGAGACCGATACTTTCATTTTTGGTACTCGCCGATACCGATACCTGTGTTTTTTACAGCATTTTAATTTTTTTTTAAATATTGGGTACAGAAACAAAATAATAATAATAGTATGAATCATGTTAGTTGGCTTCATTTATCAAACAGATATTTCCTTCAGTTATTTACACAATTATACCTGTTAAAATGTATTGTAGTAGCTTTTGTTACTTTCACTGTTCATTTTAATGGTGCATTAGAGCAGCTCAATACTGTAATCATAAGAAGTTTTCCTAAAATAATGCAGGGAACCACTCGTTATACATTATACGAGTACGTGCGTACAATTTTGGTGATGTAATTTGCGTCAGACGAACTATGCGGACCCTCGTGTAGGAGTAAAAAGTATACTTTGGCCTTTAAAGCAAGCTAAACATGCGCAGCGCGCACACGTTTGTATTAGTGCAGAATGAGAGAGACACTTATAGCCTAGCGCATTTCACACAGTCTGCTAATTTCATTTTTGCTTTAAATAAAGTTGTGTAAGCTTGACGTTTAAAATAAATGTTGTTTATAGTGATTGCCCCTATCATTTTTGTTTGTTTTATATTTACGATTTAGTTTTAATCCAAGTACTTGCTTTTAACATATCCGACCGAACTTCAGACTTTCCAGTGATGTCTGAGATATTCACTCAACAAGCTCGCGCATCTGTGCCGCCGCGCGCTCAATCCACTCAGCGCGCTCTGGTTATCAGCTTGCGCACATCCACTATACAGGTGTGAATATTGAATGTTTAACATTATATTAATTACTTACGTTGTGTGGTATCGGCTTTTGGTATCGGGGCATTTTTATGAGTACGAGTACAAGTACAGGAGCGCAGTATCGGGCCCGATACCAGTATCGGTATCGGTGCATCCCTAAATTTTAATGTAATTTTTTCCATAACTAATTAAATGAATGAACTAAATCATTAAATTAGCACATTCAGTTGACAGCCCTTGATTAAATGTTGTTTTCTTATCTTCTTGTTTGTTTTCTCAGGATGAGAGCGGCTCTGGGGCAGACACAGATGACACACCTGCAGTGCTGGCTGTGAAGAAACTGAGGAGCACATTCCCTGATCTTGTGTTGGCCTGTGATGTGTGCCTTTGCCCCTACACCTCTCATGGCCACTGTGGTTAGTTTCAGTACTGGATCTGTTTACATAATTTTTAATTTTTTTACATTTTTTATTGAAATTTCAGATACTGATAAACAAGTAATTATTTTCATATTATGGCTCACAACCAAAAAATTAATATTAAAATTCTGTTCTATTTTGTCACAGTAAATGAAAATTAAAACATTAAAAACTAAAATACATCAGGTGAATTTAGGCATAAAAACAATGTACAGTATGAAAAAATATATATTAATTTTAAGATTTTCTAAAAATACATTTAAACTGTTATTAAATTATTATTATTAAGGGAATGTTTGATCATGGCAAAGGCAATCTAAATGTAAAAATAGGAGAAATTAACATTAATAATTTAAATATTCAATATCAACTGATAAAAAAAATCTTTAATATTGGCTGATAACAATATGCTACTGATATTGTGCAAATCTAAACAAATAGTACTTCTGACAAAACACTTAAAATGTCCTTTCACATGAGATGAAGACTCCCTATAATGGTGGCTGCCATGTTGAGATCACATGACCATCTGAACACTACTTGATTATAATTTCTTTTTTTCATTTGCAATGACATTTTTAAGCATTACTTAAGCATGATGCTGCATCCATGCCGATAGGTGTCAGTATGAAGCCCAAGACCACTGTTGTAACTACCAGTGAAACAGCAAATGACACCTTTAAACATAAACAAATAATGAATAATTAGTGTATGAGTTGTGACTTTCTCTGTGGCACCTTTAAGGAATCCTGCGTGAAGATGGCAGCTTGGATAATGCTGCAAGCTGTTTGAGGTTGGCTGAAGTAGCTCTGGCTTATGCTCGAGCAGGTTTGTCCTAAATTCGATATATCTGTAGCCAATTACACATAGTATGTGCATTTTTGAATAATAGTTCTACAGAAGCCATCTTTCTCACATTAGGTCACACTTTTTCTCCCCCCAGGCTGCCATATTATCGCTCCTTCAGATATGATGGATGGACGAATTGCAGCCATTAAGCAAGCACTAATCGCAAATGATTTTGGCAACAAGGTTGAGAGAAATCACACTTCTGGGAGCAAACAATAGAGTTAAATCAAATAACAGCAGAGACTGACTCAATCTCTTTTTCCTTTCTTAGGTGTCAGTGCTGAGCTACAGTGCTAAATTTGCCTCTTGCTACTATGGGCCATTCAGGTAGTGTACTTCTAATGATTCCCTTTAGAGTACAATAGTGGACCTTCTTAGTAGTTTTTATAAACTTACAGGTAATGAAAACACCAGGATGAGTTTATTCTTTGTAAACCAAATTTTCTCTTTACTTTACATTTGAAGAGATGCTGCTCAATCTAAACCTGCTTTTGGAGACAGACGATGTTATCAGCTTCCCCCGGGTGCCCGAGGACTAGCACTGCGGGCCTGTGTAAGAGAATATCACTGAAATGAAATTGACAAACACCGTTTTCTTTCCAGTGTTAACACATTTCCTTTGAAACATGATCTTGTTGAAAGGTCCCTTTAAACATGTAATCTGAACTACTATAATAGTACTGATGTAGCAATCTAGGACCCTACATTTTGACTGCAGAAATGGGCACTTTGACTAGACCTGTGGCATTTTTTCTATTGTATGGGATGCTCCAAGTGAAGTATTAGAATATATGGTTTTGATTCTTTGCTGGTAGGACCGGGATGTGAAAGAAGGTGCTGACATGCTGATGGTGAAACCTGGATTACCATACCTTGATATTGTGAGAGAGGTTAAGAATAAGGTATTAACTTTTTTGCCACTTCATCATATATTCAGATAATATTTTCTTCATGCTCAGAAAATCTTTGTAGAAAATACATTGTAGAAATTTAAAGCAGTGCCAAAAAGTATTTGGACACTTTGGATATTCCACCCAAAAATAAAAATACTCTTATCATTTACTCACCATCATGCCAAGATGTATATGACTTTTTTCTGTAGATGAACACAAACAAAGATTTCAAAAACCACACAAAGCAAACAAGACTTCCACGTCACTCGTCTCATACAAGCTTCAGAAAGCATTTATGTCACACTTCACAATGTGCTGATGTTTACATCAATCATGAACTCATGAGCCTGCGTATGACCGTTGACCTGAAGCAGTGCTTTATAGTTAAAAGTGTTAAAAATATGAGTATCGTTTTGCTTTGGAAGACTGACTGATTCATCAACTGGGGTCGCATGGATTATGGTCATGTTTGTTTTGTGTGGTTTTTGAATCATCATCTTTGGAGATCCCTTATACTGATTTTTTATTTTTGGTTGTAAAATGCATTCTTAAACGTGTGAGTGTCTGCACTCTGCAAGTCATCTCATCTGAATCAGGAGAGACATGCACAGATCAAGCATGTTTTAAAAGCAAAAACAGTTCTAAACAAATATGTCTGAATTTTAATGTTAGAGGACAAAAGGGGATAGACGTTTTCACTGGAGGAAGTGTTATTAGCGTATTATGGACTAATGATAATTTTTTTTGTTACAAACATGCAGCTTTTCACTTTACAAGACATCAGTTGTTGGACTGGAGTTGTGACAGTTAATCAGCTATTTGGATTCTCATTTCTCTAAATCTCTTCTGATGAAGAAACAAACATATTTAAATCTTTAATGGCCTGATGGAAATACATTTTCAGCAAATTTTCATTTTTGGCTGAACTATTTCTTTAAGAATTGAAGAAATTCAATTCATTTAAAATGCCAGGAAAGTATGTTGGAGAAGATTGGAACTGAACTCTTCCGAGCAGTAGCCCTCCAAAAGCAAAGTGTTTCAAAGCACCCCAAACAATTTGCAGCAAAAACTAAACGATGTAATTCATAAAGTGAGTCTAATGTTTCTGCTAATCTTAATACCTTTGTATTCTCTGATTCCCATCAGCACCCTACTCATCCGCTGGCGGTGTACAATGTATCAGGCGAGTTTGCCATGTTGTGGCATGGAGCTGAAGCTGGAGCTTTTGACCTGCGCACTGCAGTTATGGAGGCTATGACTGCCTTCCGTCGAGCAGGTGAGAAGGAGGACATGGAAGATAAAGTACATTTTTGTTAATCTGTTGAGGCCATGTTCTCCTAAATTGTATAAATATAAAGATTGTAGTGCTTTTGGGCAAGACCTTGGTGTCTTTTAAATCTTCTTTTTTAATGCCTCAAAAATGGATGATATTTCATCACACTATTTTCTTTCTTTCAGGAGCTGACATCATTATCACCTACTACACTCCACAATTGCTCACATGGTTAACAGAGTAATTGGGTAATTGGATAAAAGCAAATGTACTGTCTCACCCAGAGAGTGAAAATGGAATTAGAAATAAATCTAAGCAGATATTACTACAAAAATCTACAACTTTTTTCCAGGATTTTTTTATTTGATTTATATATTTAGTTATAAACATATTCAGTCAGCTTTAGTTTTTCTAGTTCTTAAATTTTGGCAAGCTTTAGTTTTTTTTTACAGATGTTAAATTGGTCATTTATTTCCTAAATGTGTTTGAGTACATCACAGATTTGTTGTCATTTTAATGTGCATCTATAACACTGAAAATAGACCTTAGGTTTGTAATTACAGATGTTTAGTTTTCAAATTAATTAACATTTGACAGCGTGTTCCAGTTCCTGCCAATATCCAGCAACTTCGCACAGCCATTGAAGAGGAGTGGACCAACATTCCACAGGCCACAATCAACAACCTGATCAACTCTATGCGAAGGAGATGTGTTGCACTGCGTGAGGCAAATGGTGGTCACACCAGATACCGACTGGTTTTCGGACCCCCCCAGACCCCCCAATACAGTAAAACTGCACATTTTAGAGTGGCCTTTTATTGTGGCCAGCCTAAGGCACACCTGTGCAATAATCATGCTGTCTAATCAGCATCTTGATATGCCACACCTGTGAGGTGGATGGATTATCTCTGCAAAGGAGAAGTGCTCACTAACACAGATTTAGACAGATTTGTGAACAATATTTGAGAGAAATAGGCCTTTTGTGTACATAGAAAAAGTCTTAGATCTTTTAGTTCAGCTCATGAAAAATGGGGGCAAAAACAAAAGTGTTGCGTTTATAATTTTGTTCCGTATATGTTCTGTTGGCATCTCCATTTTAAGCATTACATGTAGTGCATCTGCAAAATGTTTATCTGTTTATAACCAAAAAGATGGGAATAAAGCTAGAGTCATGGTAAACATTATTTGTTTATTATAGGTTCATGTGGGAACATTGTCTCTTATTGACCACTCAGCTTTGTATTATGCTTTTTGTACTGAACAGGTTTCAGAAATGCCCGTCCCCTACATAGAGTTTACAGGCAATTCATCATTGATGTCAGTATATGAAAAATATTGGAAATATGGATTTATATCAAGCGTAAGCGTTAGTTCTGGCAGGTCACGTTAGTCAAGCTCGCATCAGCTGACTCTCAGCTGATCCCCATCTACCTATGGGAATACGACACCTATCTAAGCATTCATATATAAGGTCCCTCAGTGTTATCAGCAGTTTTCGCATTGCTCAATAGCTAATTACCCTCCTCCATCCGCAACTCCTCCTCTGTCAGTCAGGATTCAGCCTTCTGATTCTCCTTTGAATCAGACTAATTCTAAATGTGTACATTATATTTTTTAACTTTAATGATATCTGCAATACATTCATGTTGGTTCTGTTCTGTTTACCCTGGGTGGGGGGTTATCGCTGCTCTCCCTGCTCTTATCCATGCTAGGCTGCATGGATGCGCAGGGAGTTCTTGCCCAGAACAGAACCATACCGCCAATCCAAACTATGCTAATTGTCAGTCATCTTTGACGATAGTGGTCCTGTCAGAACAAGCGTTTTAATTCCTAACAGAGTTTTAAAAAGTGCTGCTTATATAGGAACCACACTGAGTGAGGAAGGGTGACTTGGCAGAGGTGCCCTCGAGACTGACCAAGCTTGCTGTTCTGCAGAAGAAAAGAATTTAAAAGTACCTAAAATCTTATCTGAATACCTTTTAACTATTTGTAAAGTAATGTCCATATATTACTTACTGTTAGCATGTCACCCTGTGTTTGTGGCTCTTTTTGAGGATGTAATACATGAAGCCAACCTCTCAGCCAGATAAGAAAGCCCTGAGAGCACATAAATAATACTTCACATTGCTAAACACGTAAGCAACTGTGTGCTCATACTAGCACTACTACATCTACATTTAATAGAGAAAGAAGCACGGATAGAACTGTTGCATTAAAGTAAGAGTTCTAGATCTTTTAATCCTGACTACACTAAATAAATAAATAAACAAACAAAAACTCGGTATGCACTGGTTTCCTGTTGGAATATGTTGGAAGGATATTATACAATCTTAAGGACGATACAATAAGTTTTAGTGAGGTTTTGATATATATGACACATCTATTAGGACTTAAACAACCAAAAATAATTACAGGGCTTTGGGCTTTTTTTCCATTACCTTACAGATCCTGTTCATGTAAAGTGATATGACCAGTGTCAGTTTTCTTATCCATGTATGTTCTGACTGAGACATTAACATAAATGTTTTAATCAAAATCCAATAAAATTCTTAGTAGTTTGTTTACATATTCATTAAATGCACACCTTAATTATCATGCGTACATAATTTAATTCAAAATCAAAATTCTGTATTTAATCATTAAGCCGAAAAATAATTACACAGCTAAAGAGCTAATTTTAGGGTTAAACTTACCTCTCATAATCAGTCATAGTAACATAGCTGACTCAGTCTCATCCAAATGGATCCTCTAATAATCTACTGTACCTGAGACATCCTACAAAACACCAGACGTAAACATCTTCTGTGATCGACTATGTTGACCTGGGCTATTCCAGCACGTATCGAATCGACGTTCGATTAATGTGGACTAGGGATTGTGCTACTGCTAGTCGTCTAAGCGGAGCTGAAACAAATCGAGCATGATATATTTTCCTTAGATATAAACTTGCTACGTATTCCACAGGTTGTGGCCTTTGGCAGGTAATGTATAATTTAATTAAACATTTATCTGAAATATACTTTAGCAAAGCTTCCCCATATTTGTTTATCCTGGGCTTTGGTAATGAGCTTAGCTTATGCTATTAGCTGCTTTAGCTACTAACAAAAAATAACTGCTAGAAAATAGCATTTAATATATCTTATTTTATAAATCTGCTCTGATTTGGACGTTCTATGTTAGTCATACAAATAATAATGATAATAAATAAGACAACCTTGGTTTGTTTGGTAACCCAGAATTTCTGTATAACTGCATGCCTACAAAAAGTACAGTTATTTATTTATACCCAAGTTATATTTCATGATCAAACTTTACATTTTGATATTTAGTTTGATGTCTAAATTGACTAAATTATAAGTTTGAGCTTTAGTATGAATGCTGTTTTTTTTCCCCCTTAAAAAATACTGACAAAACGATATAGATTTATTCCATCATATCAGCTAAGGGTATGCATACCATGCTCATTTATTTTTATGTGTAAAGAAAGTATCCTGTATGTGCTGAAAGCTCTTAGATTAATTGATTCAGATCAGTAAAAATCAATATACAGATTCCAAAGTGATGGCTTAAGATATTTTGTAAATATGATACTTTTCTAGTTTCCATTTACACTTTTTACATTTACTTAAAAAAAAAAAAAAAAAAAAAACTCTAAAAATAAACATCTGGGTGGAGAAGGAGAGATTGTGTTACTCATAATTTATAGCTGTCAGATCTTAAATTAGAATAGAGAAATGAGAGGGGTGAGCCACACTTTTTACCCACTATAGTGGATGGACTTACAGGTAGGCTATTCTTGAAAGATAGTTATTTATTTATTATCAAGTCAACCATTAAATGCCACCATTTGGTGGATTTATTTTTAAATATTCCCCTAAAACAACATTGTACTGCTGTCTTCAGTAGGAAACAATAGTGATCAATAGGTAAAGTAGCTTGTTTAATAAATTGTTTAATTAGTAAACGTTTTTATGTAACAGACAACCTTTCACAAGTGAGAAACATGCATTATTTTATTGTTAACACCTAAAATACTGTTAGACATAACCCAAAACAAATATGTAAATTTCTGACTATTTAGATGTATTCATCAGGTCACTTGTGTCGGTAGTATTTTAGTAATTAGTCATTTTCAGTTGCAAATGCAACCACTGTATTGGTATTGTTATTTAACTTGGTTTAACCATGATGACCATCTTTGTGTCATGGTGCACAATAAATTTGGGTTATACAGTTCTTCATGAAAACATCAGTATCTCATCTCACAACTCCGTCCTAGCTCATTGATCTCTATAGGAAACGTGGTATATGGACATATATAAACATTTTGAGCATTCTTGTTTCTTAGAACAACAGTCCAAATGTAATGATCAAGATTGCTCAAAGCTCCACTGGGAAGGGTTCAGATTTGTCCAAAATAATAATTAAACATAATTGCATTTCAGTTATTTTAAATAAATTATGCATATCCTGCATTGTGTTTTTAATTGTTGTAGCCTAATGATTATGTAGTTATTATGTAAGAAACTGCTTCTGTATAAGGCATGTTCACTCTTGTAGTTCGGGTTCGTTTTGCATTCATACTTACATTTTTTAAAACTGACAGAACCGAAAGATACAAAACAAAAGGCATAAGGATAAGGTCACAGCCTGATTGGACAGCTTTGATGACATATTTTGTGACAGAACTTACCAAACATCCAAAACCATGCTGTGTGCTGGGTTAATTTGCTTATTGTATGTGTACATAAGGCAGCATTTTTACCAGGAATTCCTCTGTTGCACACACCAAAAATCTGCTGCAAGGAGACGGCAGTTCTGACACCTGTACTGAAATGTAACACGTTTTTGTTTATTTAGACTTCTTCTTTAGTCTATGTTACTTTCATATTTCAGTCGAACTGCACCAGTGTTCATTTCGAAGTGGACTGAGACCGATTGTGGGCCTTGATCCAATTATTTGGTGAATGAACCGCACTTACAGAGCAATCACACCAGAGTACATTTCAACCTAACCAAACCTGCCAAGTGTAAACAAACCCTCAGTTATTTATTATCTTAAAAAAACAAATTCTAAACATTTGCCAAACTAAGTGAATAAGACAAGATGTCTAGACTTATGTGTCCAGGAAACACTTGAATCGGCAAAAGCCAGTTTGGCAGGATCGGAGGATTTAAAGGGGTCATATGACGTTGCTAAAAAGAACATTGTTGTTTATTTGATGTAATGCAATGTGTTTATGCTGTTTAAGGTTAAAAAAACACATTATTTTCCATATAATGTACATTATTGTTTCTCCTCTATGCCCCGCCTTTCTGAAACACGTAGATGTTTACAAAGCTCAT